TGTGGAGCAGTGAAAGATAAATCCCTTATTGTGGAGTTAAGCATTAGTTACAGTGTTAACCCCACCTTTAGCCCAGTGCCTTGACCCACTTACTTCCCAGTTCCACCCTCCACCAGGATAACCCTTCACATCTGCCAAGCCCCTTCAGAAAATATCTTCCATTGTCCAACCCATGATCTGACAGCTTGTATCTTAAGTTTCCTTGGCTTCTGTGCTTCCGAACACGTGACTGCTGACATTTTTTTCTTTTGTCCAGTGTCTCTTAAGTTTAGTTGTACTGTCTCCAAGGGAAGGTGACGTGTCCTGTAGAACTCCTGTGTAGATTATGTTTTCCTTTCTTCCCGCCGGTTTTTCTGTGTACCTGAAAGATGCCTCTTTGCTATTATCCGAGGTGACCTTCCCCAGTGCGCAGCTTGGGTAACTCTTAAACTAAAATGAACAGCTCCAGTATTTTGAGTCTCTCAATCATGGAAGTGAACAAAATTGAATTTGGGGAGACAATTTTTGCTCAGGTGTTGGTCTTCCATTGAGTTTGGTGTCGTTATATGCCATAGAGTTGCCTGCAGTTTGAGTACTGCCATAATTAGTGTTTTCTCCAAAGCAAATACCAAGACAACAATTTAAATGCAAGAGTTTATTTGTTAAAAAAAGACGATTAAAAAGCCTTCTTGGCCCTCTTAGTTTCAATAGGGAGCAGGACAGGCCCAGAGGCCTTCCAATCCCTTCTTTTTTTTAAATTTTCATTTATATTCGTTCGCTTACAAAGTTCACATGTATTGTGTTTCACACTATGTTTCATTCATGTTGTGTTTCATACAAACTTTTCCATTCATCATATTTTATAAAATTAATGTACGTTGAACTATGCCCACCATTACCCTGTTTTTTCAGATCCCTGTTGGATCTTTCCACTTCCATTACCCGCTCCTCCCTCCACCCACCAAATTATGCAACCCTATGATTTCCTCCTTCCCATCCTCACCTCTCTGTTCCTACCCTCCTCGTCTTGGGTCCTCATCACTTTTTACTAGTTATTTTTCTACAATAATGCTTTTACAATAATGGCCTTATACAGTATTTGTCCTTAAGAGATTGAGTTAGTTTGTTCAGCATTAAGACTATCTAGTCTTTCCCAAATTATGTAGCAATTTTCAAAATTGTTGCTCCTGTGTGCTGTGTAGTATTGCATGATATAATTGTAGCACAGTTTCTTAATCCAATTTGATTGTGGTTGGACATTAGGCTGTTTCCATGTTCCTGTGATAGTGAATAATGCTGCTATGAACATTGGTGTATAAATCTCTGTGTCTTATCTCTGATTTTCTTGTGGTATATTACAGGCAATTGAATAGCTTGGGCATATAGAATGTCTATGTTCAGCTTTTTGAGGAAATGCCAAACTCCCTTCTAGAGTAGCTGTTCCATTTTACAATTCTACCAGCAGTGTATGACAGTTTCTATTTCTTCACATTCTGGCCAACATTTATTGCTTGCTGTCCTGTTAAACTTTGCCACTGCTACTGGGGTGAGATGGTATCTCACCGTGGTTTTGATTTTCTTCTCTCTGATTGCCAGTGATTCTAAGCATTTCTTCATGTGTCTGTTGGTTACCCAAATGTCTTCCTCTTTGGAAAGTTTCCATGCCTTTTGCCTATTTTGTACATGAATTGTCAATCTTTTTCTTGTGGAGGCCCTGCAGGATCCAGAATGCTATTTGATCAACATTTGTGACAACACCACCCTTTTGGACCTCGGGCCTATGGCCTGCGGGCCTTATGTGGAACAAAAGGATTGAAGATCCAGCAAAGACATTGCTATAACTTTATTATACACATCTGGATGTTACCTTGCCTGTCAGTTTCCTGGATTCAGCCAGAACACTTTAACACCACTAGGGGCCCTTTCATGCCAAGTAGCAACAGGTTACAAGTGGACCCAGTAACATAATATTAGTATGCCTGATTATCTATTAGAGGTATAAGACGAGTCTTTCAATTGTTGTATTGGGAGAATATTTTGAATATTGCTTATTAATTATCTATATTTTTGTTTATCATTGTTGTTATTAGAACAGTACTTGTCTGTCAGTTTGCCGTACTAAGATTGCTTGTGAGTTGCTGTGTTGCTGAAAACTGTGCCACCAGTATGTCAAGCGTCAGAGTGGTCATTCATGCCTAGCAGGTTTTAATAGAGCTCCCTGTCAAGACAGACTGGGAAACAGGTTCAGTCATTTACTGCTCAAATAGTAGGCCACTGAAAACTATATGAAAAATAGAGAAACACAGATAGCTATAGTTTTAGAGGTAAAGCCCTGATTGGAAGGCAATGGAAATAAGGAGAAACAGCTGCAAACAACTTTAATAGCCAGGACATGGAATGTATGAATTTTGAATACCGGAAAACTAGAAGTTGTGAAAAATGAAATGGAACACATGAACATTGACCTTCTAGGCATTAGTGAGATGTGATGGATTGGCTTTGACGACTTTGGTTTTGACTTTTTTTTTAAACCCTTGAAGTGCCTGCTGCAGAAGATCAAAGAATACAGCCTTCAATATAGATTGCATCTCAGTGTCAGGAAAATGAAACATTTCCCCCCTTGACTGATAAGCAACATTATGCTGAGTAAAGAAAAGACAGACTATAAAAGACTTTACTTGAATCCACAATCAAAACACTTGGTATCAGCAACCAGGAGATCAGGAGACATATGGCACTGGGAAAATCTGCAGTTGGGGACCCCTACAAATTATTGAGGAATAATGATGTCAGTTTGAGGAATAATGATGCCAGTTTGAGGACTAAAGTGTATCTGAACCAAGCCATGTTATTTTCAATCACTTGCTATGCGTCTGAGAGCTGGACAAGGAATAAGGATGACAGAAGAATGGATGCCTTTGAACTGTGGTGTTGGAGAAGAGTATCGAATAACCTATGAACTGCCAAAAGTGCGAAGAAATATGTCTTGGAGAAGGTGCAGCCAGAGTGCTTGAAGGCAAAGACAACAAAGCTTAGTTTTATATACTTAGGGCATGCTGCTAGGAGAGACTATTAGCTGGAGACACACAACCCGTTTAGAAAGGCAGAGCGTCGGTGAAAGAGAGGAAGACCTTCAACCAGATGTATTGATACAGTAAATGCAGCAATGGGCTTAAGTGGTCAGTGATGTTGAGGGTGCCACAGGATAGGTCAAGGTTCAGATCTGTTGTTAATAGCATTACTGTGAGTCATACTAGACTCAATGACACAAAACAACAACAACAGTAGTTTATTTGTGGAGGAGTTCTTGTAACCTAAAGGTAAAGAGTTTGGCATCTCCAAAGCAGATGGTTCTAATCAAACAAATGAACAATCATCCCGTGCCATTTACAGTTTCTGGAAAACTGCTGGAGGGTCAACTTAAATGGTTCTGACAGGATGGTTGGCACATAGCAATAAGATTATTTCTAAAGTGAGACTAGGAAGTGTGCCTGGGTACGAGGGATGATTTTGAGATTGGAGGAAAGCTAAGACAGCGAATTTTAATGGGCAGGTTAGCCTTTGGGTAAGGAGAATTCAATGTGAATTGAAGGGTTATGGAAACTACTGAAACTACAAGCCCTTTTACAAGTCCTTATTTCTTCCCAAGCATTTTCTTCCCATTTCTTCTAGCCCATTCTGCTCAGTTCAACCATGATTCCCAGACTCCAGAGATCCCCGACAGAGAGACATGGGAAGCTAATAGCCTGTAAATAAATTGTCTGCTGATAACTTCTGAAAGTGACCAAGAAATATGGGTGGGCTATTTACTAAAACACTACCTTAAACCTCATTCTTTCCACTCACTTCTGGGAAGATTCTTGAATGGGCTCACTTACGTCTTCAAAGAAGGTTCTTGTTTGCAGAACGATTTCTTTGAAGTAGAAGCTCACATCTCGATCTGTTAGCAGCTCCAGGATCTTTTTGAGAGCCTTCAAGCTTTCACAGATGACTTCAGTGCGGGCCAGGTGATACAGGCCTCTGATAATCGATTCTAACATTATCTGCTTATGCTTCTTTACCTAATTTGAAATAAGGTCTCTGAATCTCAAAAAAGGTGATAAATAAATCTTGGAAAAGGACTGAAGTTCCCAAACCAGGCAATGGAAATTATGTAAGGGCCACATATACTTCAATTCAAGCAAGGGTCACCACTTAAGTGATTTGCTTGGATTTTCCCACTATGTTGTATGCTTGTGGGTGTGATCTTGAGTGAGCAATTATTTCAAGACTGCTAAATTAACTATAGACCCTAGGAATGCCTTTTACCTTGTGCGGGGCTCCCAAAGCTGTATTACCGAGGCCTCGGATGGCCATTTGCCTCAGGATGGCATTGGAGTCCCAGGCACTCTGATCCATCAAGATCAGCACATCCCGTAGATTTCCATGCTTCCAGAGAATGGGCTCCTTCATGAGCTGCAATCAACACACCTCTCTCCCTTAGTTAAGGGAGTGACCTCCCTTCAGGAGAGTGTCAAAGGAATAAAAACTACAATTAAAGAGTAGGAGAGGAAGCCCTGGGGTGATTTAGCATATCGAAGCTAAGCTCTAGGTGTGAAAGGTCCATGCTCAGGTTGTCTATGGATGTTTCTAGTCTAGATAGGCTGATAGAACAGGGAAGATAGGAATCACTGAGGCTATTCCTTCTCTGGATGGGTTGGGATAACTTTTCTCCCAGAGTCTGAAAAGACAACAATATGCTTGTTGTCCACTCTTTGCTTTTCTCCTGCCAGATCTAATCACTGCCCACCTCTGCTCTGGAAGGTTGATTCTGAAGACTAGAAAGTAGAAGAGATCCAAGAAGGGCTCTTTTTCTCTCTTTTACTGCTTAGATGCTGTATCTCTGACAGTACTGGCACCTTCCATGGCCAAAATTCTCCTCAAATATCCTCCCTGTGTAAGTCCAGCTCTAACAGGATTTCTGACCCAGAGAGAACCACCCTGAAGGGATCTATAGCGCCTATTGGGATGGCTGCTGTCTCTTGCCTCAGAGAAGAAGGCAGTGCCAGTTATCCGGAAGCTCTCCGAGGCAGAGGTGAAAGACAGGACTAGGTAATCCATGATGTCCAGTATGACTCCATGTTGCCATACTGCCATGCTCCTGCAAAACACAAGGCTCCAATTTTAATGGACACTCTTTCCCCCTAAACAAAGGAAGAAATTCTAGTCCATTTGCCTACCAGGCAGATAAATGACTTAAAAAAAAATTGTTCCCTTCAAGTTAGAATTGACTTGAAGCTGAACGTTCAGAGGGTTTTTAGAGACTGTAAATTGCCTAAGAGTAGATTGTCCATCTCTCTCCTGTAAAGTAATAACTGGTAGACTTGAACTGCCTACCTTGGGTTGGAAGTACAACTCTCTAACCATTAGATGACAAGAGCTACAAATAAACAACCTTTCAAATAAAAAGCCTCCTTAATTAAAGAACTTTGAAGCTTAAGCACTAAAATTTCCCAATTGAAATGTTACTTGAATTCAGTGTTCTCTTGTATCACTTTTTGGTGGGTGGTGGTAAATTTTGTGTTAACTTTCCCATCTATTCCTACCCCTCTTTGCTCTCACTGGTCATTTCCTCTATTTGTTCTTCTTTAACTCTATGTCCCAGGAGAATCATGAAGTTGTCTGCTTTGAATTTTCGTTCTATTTTTGTCTTTCTCCTTTATATCCAGCTCTAGAGTGTCTGCCCATTACCTCGCCAGTGCACATACTCCTGTGTGGTGGGTTCCAGGACTGCTGAGGAGAGACCATACATTTTCCCCTTCATCTGATTCTTTGGCAAGGCCTTCTTTCATGGCTTGAACTTGCACACATTTCAGAGTTATGGTTGCGAGCCTGCGGAGACAGTCAGTACCCACAGAGATGAGTGGACCTGTACCGGGAAATGTGAGTTCCCAGTTCACTCCATCTCTTCCCCAGAATGCTCCCCATCTTTAGATTAAGGGAAACTGCAATAAAGAACAGAGGCAGCCTGATCCCTCACATTTTAGTCTTAAAACCAGTTGGACTAGGATGACGTGAATCAGCCACCACCACCATAAATCCTTGTCAACTCTCTGACTAAATATGGCCCTAGAATACTAAGTACCAACCCTATAGTTAATTTGTTTTAAAGACGTATTTTTTTTTGCATTGTCAGTTCTCTCTCATCAAATTGGTTCTGACTCACAATGATCTGATAGAGCAGATTAGAACTTTTCCATATCACTTCTGAGGCTGAACATTTTATAGGATCAGCCTGCCAGGTTGATTGGTGGGTTTGAAGTACTGACCATGGGGTTAGCAGCCAGACGGCCTACCACAGTGTCACTGCAGTTCCTTTTCCAGGTTTTGTTGTTGGTAGGTGCCGTTGAGCCAGCGCTGACTCATGGCGACCCTATGAACAACAGAACAGAGCTATTCCCACTCCTGCTCCATCACCGTCACCATCTCCACCAAGCTCAAGAGCACTATTGCGAGTACTGTGTCAATCTATCTCACTGAGTGTCCTGCACTGTATCACCAACTCTCTACTTTTCTAAGCATGAGGTCTTTTCCAGAGAACTAGCCCCTCCTGAAAAGATGCTCCAAGTGTGTGAGATGAATTTTCATCACCTTTGTATCTGAGGAGCAGTCTGGTTGTACTTCCTTCAAGACAGATTATTTTGTTCTTTTGAACAGTAAGTGTACTGTTAGGTACCATCAAGTTGACTATAACTCATAGCAACTCTATGAACAACAGGAACAATCTGCCTGCACGTCACCAAGATAGACTTCTTCTCTACCTCTTTTTCTGCCAGTCCATGGGATAGTCTATACTCCTTTATCAGTACCACAATTCAAAGTCATTGATTCTCCTTCTGCTATCCTTATTCATTGTCCAATTTTCAGACACACATAAAGCAACTGAAAATACCATGGATTGAATCAGGTACATTTTAATATTTAGTTGACATCCTTGCTCTTTAAAATTTTGAAGAGTTATTGGTAGCAGGTTTTCCCATTGCAATATATATTTTAATTTCTTGACAGCTGCTACCCTGATACCCTTGAGTGTTCTTTGTGGACCCAGGTGAAATAAAATAGTTGACACCTTAAATCTTTACCTATAATGAAGCTGTTGTTTGGACAGAAGAAGGAACCATTGCATGGTTTAAAATCAGTCAAGGTGTGAACCGGGGTTGTATCTTTTCTCCATAAGTATTCAACATGTACACTAAGATGAACCATATAAAGAAGAACATGCCATCAGGATTGGAGGAAGACTCGCCAACCACCTGCATTATGAAGATGACCCAACTCTGCTAGCAGAAAGTGAAGAGGAGTTGAAGCACCTGTTGCAGAAGCTAAGAGTACAGTTTTCACTCTAAATTATATCTCAACATCAAGAAAACAAAATCTTCCCCGCTGGACCAATACGGTGACGTATGGATAACAGAAGTCGTCCAGGATTTTATTTTCTGTGAATCCACTACCAATTACAATGGCAATTGATGTTAAAAAAAAGTTTTAAAAACCCCTCAAATAACCAAAAACCCCCAAAACAAAACATGTTACACTGGGATAATCTGGTTGCCAAGGACTTCTTTAAAGTTCTAAAGAGCAATGATGCCAGTTTAAAGACTAAAATATGCCTGATCCAAGCTATGTCATTGTCAATTGCTTCCTGAAAGTTGGACAATGAGTAATAAGGACAGAAGATGACTCGATGCCTTTGAATTGTACTGCTGGAGAAGAGTGCTCCAAATATCCTGTGGACTGCTGAAACAACAAACACGTGTCTGCTGGAGGAAGTGTGCCCAGGTGCTCTTTCAGAGGCAGGATGGTGAAGTATTGTCACACATACTTCAGGCATGTTGTCAGGAGGGCTAGTACTTGGAAAAAGACATTGCACTCGGAAAGGTGAAGGGTAACAGGGAAAAGGGAAGACGCTCAACAAGGTGGATTGACACAATGAGTACAATGGGCTGGAATATGTATGAGATAGTGAGGACAGCACAGAAAAGGGCAAGTTTCAGATCTGTCGTTCATACAGACACTATGAGTGTATTAGATTTGATGGCACATAACACATACACGTAGGTGATTTCCCATTTGGATGAAAATGATGCAAAAGGATGGAAAAACAATAAGAAGACTTAGAATAAAAACCTATAACTAAATCGTGCACGTAAGTGTGCGTAATGATGTCATCGTACATCATGAAACAGCTATTAGTTTGAATCCACCAACTGAAAGATAGAATTGCAGAAAGATAGGCAGTTTCCTCCCATAAATAGTCACAGCCGCAAAAGCTGAAGGAGGGTTACTATAAGTCAAGCGTAATTCAACAGCAGGGGGTAATTTTAGTAAATCCTTAGTATAGATTACACTTCAACAGAAAGAAGACAAAAATTCTCACAGCTGAGCCAGTAAGCAATGTTAGTATAAATAGAGAAAATATTGAAAGTGTCAAAGATTTCATTTTACTTGAGGATGTTATCCACAATCAACACCCATATAAGCAATAGTAAAAAAATAAAATAATTTTTAAAGAGAAAAGCGAACTGGGGTGGTAGGGAGGAAAATGTGCAACAATGAATGAATGGAGATACAAGTTTTCTTAAATTTTTGTTAAAATGTCAATTAAAAAAGAATTAATACCTCAGGGTTGGGGAAAGAAGGAGAAAAACTGGATAAAAAAGAAAAAAATTAAAAGCAATTATTATAGGGTATTATGATTATCATAAGAGTCCGGAATGAAGGTTGCAGAGTGGACTATACTCGGGGTGGGGGTTGGGGGGAGAAAAGTGCAACAATGAATGAATGAAAATCCAAAATCTGTGTAAATGTTCATTAAAAGAATTAATAGTTAAAAAAATAAAATTTTGTATTACACTGGACAACTCTGCTTTAAAGGGTCTCTATAGAATAGTGCAACAATGAATGAGTGGAAGCCCAAAATCTCTGTAAATGTTTATGAAAATTAATAAAATATAATTATAGAAAAAAAAAGGGTCTCTATAAAATGTTAAAAAGTAGAGATGCCACTTGGAGGACCAAGGTGTATCTGATCCCGACCCATGACATTCTTCAATCACTTCATATATATGTGAAATCTGTACAACAGATAAGGTAAAAAAAAATTATGGCTTTGAGTCATGTTGGTTTTAAAAATATCAAATAAACCATGATCTACCAGATGAATGAATAAATGTGTCTTGGAAGAATGCTCCTTGGAAGAAATGACAACAACTTCATCTCATATACTTTGGACATGTTCTCAGAAAGGAATCTTTCCTAGAGATGATACCATATTTGTTAAAGTAGAGGGTCAGCAAAAAAGAGGAAGACCTTCAATTAGATGGATTGACATAGGGACTGCAACTATAGGTTCAAGACTATAATGACTATAAGGATGGTACGGTACTAGCCACTGGACGCTTTGTTGTAAATCTAGGCATTGGGTTGCTATGAGTTGGAACTGACTTGATAGCTTCTAACAATGACAACATTCTTGAAAGTGCTACTTTGATATATGCAAAAAAGAATTTAAAGTTATAAGAGGACAATGTGGATTGGAAACTTTTTTCTTTTCTTTTTTGTTTCTTTATCTTTATTAATGGTATACAAACTGATAGTACTTTTTTCAGTTGGTGAAGTTTTACATTTTATGAACTATAGGCATTTGACTGTGTGGATCATAACAAACTGTGGTGGACTCTGAGAAGAATGGGTATCCCAGAACACTTGATCGTTCTAATGCGAAGCCTATACTTGGACCAAGAGGCAGT